GTTCGATTCCCAGCACCCACATGGCGGCTACAAACCATCCTTAACTCCAGTTCTAGGAGAATCCGATGCCCTCTTCTGACCTCCTCGGCATTGCCCAACATGGGTGTATTCACATACATGCAGGCAATGCACTCATACACACAAAATAAAAATAAAATTTAAAAAAATTGCAAAATTTCAATAAAAAAGAGTGACTTGTAGCAGTCACGAGAGAGGCTATTTTTTAGAAAGCACAACAGAATATATTTGTGTTGCACAGGAAAATAGATATTCTTTTCTTTCTGGGCATAAAAGTTCTTTCATATTTTTTGTATCTATTAAATAACAGCTTTCTGAAAAAGAAACGATGCTAAAGAAAAAACACAAGCAAGTCTTGAGAGCAAGTTCAGCTCCATTTGTTGATATTATGATGTTATTCCTAGTCAGCTTGATAATACTGATCACTGAAAAATCATTAACATAATCTCTTCTAGATACAAAATTTCACAAAATCCCAATATAATGAATTATAGTTTTATAATCTATAATCCTTCTATTTTTAATTAATTTTCATTTGGACACAGGAGAAATTCGAAATGGCTAATTCATTCACAAATTTGAGCCATATGCATCTTTCTGTGTGTGTGTGTGTGTGTGTGTGTGTGTATGTGTGTGTGTGTGTGTGTGCATTTGCTTTTTGTTAAATATTTGCAATTTTCAGCCAGTACAGTTCAATGGTATTTAAAACCCTTTCATTTACTTAACCTCCCCCCAACACCCTCTGCCCAATTTAATTTACTCTATTTTATGTAGAATTTGATTTGTGTTCCAAATGTCCTTCGGTGTGGGTCCGTACACTGGAGCCTGTTTAACCTACCAAGTGTCGCATCCATATAAGAGAATCTCTCTCCTTATTTACTGGATTATGTGCATGGACAACTGCATACAATTTATGATTCTGATCATACATGTCCTCCCCTGGCTCTTACTCTCTTTTAACACCCTCTTCCACAATGATCACTCAATCCTGTGTGGGTTAATTTTGCTATAGAAGTTTTCTCTGGATCCTGGCTTCTTATAGCAGAAACATCTTGGTTATCATTCTATTGCCATTGTAAATCCCAGGAAAGATCAAACACTTTTCCACCTTACTGCTCTATGTACAGTCTATGAATGAGCCATCATCTTCTACTTAAAGTCAAAATCAAATGTATTTGAGGGGACAAACTCCTCTCATGTTTCTACACTTCTTGACTGAAATATTCAGGCCCATGATATACACTTACAGAACAAATGCTTCACAGACACACTGAGAAAACTCTCAAATCAGTATTAGTCTAAGAGATAATACTGTAATCGCTGTTTTATGGATTCAGTGAAATTTATAAACATTTTTGTTTTTATTACATTTTAGTGAGTCCTTATGTCCCTGCAGTTATGATACAAAGTCTTGATTTATTTAGTGTTTCTTTAGTATAAATCTCTGTCTCACTTCTGACTATAACATAAATTGAAATACACAGCTGAGAAGAAAAAGCTAGGAAGTACTATTATTTTTTTCATATTTTGTTTGAAACATTTGCAGGAACTTGCACATACTATTAAAAATAATATATCCTTAGCTCCTGTAGATTCATCAATGTATAATCACCTCAGGGAATCATAAACCTGAAAACAAGGCCTCAAGAGAGGATTCAGTGGTTAAGGACACTAGTTACTCTCATAGGGGACTCAGCTTTGGATCCCACCACCCATATGGAGGCTAACAACCATCAATATTTCCAGTTCCAGGCAATCTGATACCCTCTTCTGATCTTTTTGGGCATTCCTCCCACATACTGCACTCACATGTAATCATGCCAAATACTCATACGCTTAAAAATAAAAATAAATACATTTAATTTTTTTCTAAATCTGAAATCATAAGCATATACGTATAAAATTATTATGTGAGTGATTAATAACTGTATAACAATGTTCATTGAAATACTATACAAAAATACATTCTCATATTTAAGACTATTAGAAAAATATGATGTATAAGTATAGCTGCTTAAAAACTTTCCTGTGACACATATATGCCAATGGGATAATTGGTCATATCTAACAGCGTCTGTGACTTTTCTGGGTTTGCTTCATGCACTTACTCTAGCTATGACCATATGACCATAACTGTTTCAGCCAGTGCAATATGAGCAGACATGAACATCCTTGGTTGTTTGTACTTACCTCATCCAACAACAGAAAACTTTAAATTATAATGAGAAAATGCCTAGTCTACAATCTCAAACAATGAAAGGTTTGGCAAGAGCTTGTGGCAATATTTACATAAGATACAGTATGATAGATCAAGATGGTAAAAGAAAAAAATTGTTTAATCAGAATCCACTATCAAGGAGACAATAGGCACAATCAAGTCTATCTCATCCTCCCCACAAAAAGATCCTTTACATTGATGACATTAGGCTTTTTGACCAAATGATTCTGATAAAGAAACCACTGTGGACTTGGTAAAGATCAAGTATCTGTGAACTTCCTAGGAGTCCACTGCACTGCTGGGCATGTACCTATATTCCTTCTAAGATGAAGAATACATTGTTCCATGTAGCCCTCCTACCACCATGAAGGCACAAGGTAATGGGCCTATTTGAAATTCAGATGTAGCATATTCCTCACTTGGGTGTGTGATTTTGACCCAGATACTGACTGACTTAAAAAACTGCTAGTTTTGAGACAAGAAGTCTAGATCACTGCTCTGTCTGTTCTGCCATTTGGGCTATATAATTCTGCAATGTAAACGATACTTCAGTTTTCAGTCTAAACAAAAGTAGACCTTCCCAGAGGAGGACTTCAAAACTCAAGGAGATATATGACCCTGGCTGCGGAAATAGTTAACTTCTTTCCCTGGCCATCATTGTCATTGGGCAATATTGACTAATGAACAATGTGGCCCTGGAGGCAGGCAGGAAGCTTATGCATGAACACAGCCAAATTTACTTCCAGTCACCGAGCCAACCTTGATATGGCAGCTGCTGAGTGTCAAAGGTACTAGCACCAGAGAAAAATGCTGAGCCTTGGTTACAGCACAATTCCCGGGGTAACCAGTCTGCAATCTAGTGGCAGGTTACTTGCATTGCAATCCTTCCACTGCAAAAAGAGCAGGGTTCTGTCCTTAACGGAATCATATTTGTGTTAGGTATGAACTTGCTTTTTACATGTGTAAGTTTCTTCCAAAGTTACCATACATGGTCATAGAAAATACCTCATCTACCCTCATTGTGTTCTATGCAGCATTGTTTCAAACCATAAATTTAGTTCCTAGCTAAATAAATGAAACAGTAAGCATATACTCGTAGATTACAATGTCCTAAAATGTTCTCCACCAATCTGATACAAGTGGCTTGATAAATATGATAATAAATTTTAAAAGACACTTCTACAGCTCCCTTTGGTGTTCTTGGAAAAATGTATACTCTGAATCAACATCCAATTTCTCTTATATTGCTATTCCAGAGCCAGAATTGGAGGGTCGAGTACATAAGGGGTGAAAATTAAAATGACAAGGCTTCTTTTGTGCCTATCTTATCCTGGAGAACTGGTTTCAGTCAACCTTGAGTAGATTCTAGAGGCTTTTCTTAAAAAACAATTTAAGAACACCTTGTTAGTTAAATAATGTATGTTCAATCATTCTCAGCCCTGAGCCCATTAAGGAACACATGGAAGCCCAAACTATTATCACAATAATTTGATGTTAATCTTACTTAGACAGACTCACAATATACTCTCCTAAGAGATTTTTTTAAAAACATGCCACCATATTATCCCACAACATCTACTAGTTCTATACACATTATACTATCTATTTGGGGAATTTGTGAGAGCAAATAATATAATTCATTACAAACATAGTTGAACTGTACCCTCCCAAAAGAGCAAATAAACAAAAGTCTTAAAGTGAAAATCTCAGAGGAATATATTTACAGAGAACTAAAAATAGGAAAATTCATAAGTCTTGTTTTAAAAATAAAATATTTCTACCTTTTCAGTTCACTTAAGTACGACTGTGTCAAGTAAGTCTTTTAAAAGTTGTTTTTCCATGTCTCGATCTAATATATATTTAGGGTAGTGATGAAGAATAAGTGTAAATCGATTCAAATGATTATCTTGTTCATGTTCAAACATCAATGAAATGTAAAATTTTAGATTTAATTTTAATTTTATATTTAAAAAATAATTCCATTTTGAATTGTTATGTAATTAAAATCAACAGACAAAACATGTTACCTTTAAATACATATCTTACTTTTAATGAAAGCGGTGGTATCATAACATATTATTCAGAGCTTTTGTACCACTATAGATTGTAGGATATGTACATAAACTAGAAAATGATAGTGAGTATATTTAGGCTTTCAGGTAAAATGTTTGACTTATGAGTATTGATATTCATCAGAGTACAAGTGGGAGACCATAAAAGTCTGTTTAATAATAGAAAATAAATTTCAAGAGAAACATTTGGAATTGAAAGAAGCTTGACTAGTTTTACCTATTTAGAAAAAAAGACTCAGATAACAGAATAGAATAAACTTGTTTTATAATTTCATGGAGGTAGAACATAGAAATTAGCTATTAAGATATCAAAAGAAGAAAATGCAGCAAGGAAAATGCCATGAGCACAAAAATGACGATTTATTGGCAACATCACCCCACAGCCTTGACATGATCATTTCTCTTTCAGTTGCAAACTCCATTTAACAGTTTACACTGACGAAACACAGTGTTTTTTTTAAAGTAAAACATTGCTAATGGATTTACATGATTGTTGTAGGTAAGTGAAATAGGCCCTACTAAAAAGATATTTCAAAATCATAAATCTTTATAAAGATTTAAATTATAAATAATTTAATTTATTATTTATAACCTTTAAATTATAAATCTTTATTTATAGATTTCCAAGATTAAGTTATGCTTTAACTAAACGTATACAGAATATAAAAATAATTTGTGTGATTTTAATTCTCTCACAATGCTAACAGTGTGGGAAAGAATTTTCTCAGTGCCCCTGTAACATCTTTGTTCCGCAGACTGTATATCAAGGGATTGAACACTGGGGTCAATGTGGTATAGAAAAGACAGAGGATTTTCTCTGTTCCCTCATACTCAATGGATTTGGGTTTTAAATAGGTGATACTGGCTGATCCATAGAATAAAAACACAACTATAAGGTGTGAAGAGCAAGTAGAAAATGCTTTGGTTCTTCCTGTGTTTGATGGCAGGTTCAGGATGGTGGAGATAATTCTGCTATAGGACACAAGGATCAACAAAAAGGGCACAGTGACAATCAATAAAGTAGATAAATAGACCATCATCTCATTCACAAAAATGTCCCCACAGGCCAGTTTGAGCAATGGGGGTATGTCGCAGAAGAAGTGATTGATTTTGTAAGATTTACAGAAGGACAGAGAAAAAATTTGATATGTATGATCTACCGGAATGGGGATTGCAATAGCAAAGGAACCAACCACCAGCTGCTTACACAATTTATGGTTCATGATTAGAGGGTAGTACAGAGGATTGCATATGGCAACATACCGGTCATAGGCCATCACAGCCAGAAGGAAGCATTCTGTGGCTCCCACAATAAGGAAGAAGCACATTTGTGTAGCACAAGCATGAAAAGAAATATTTCCTTTGAGAGTACAAAGATCCATAAGCATTCTAGGCAGAGTGATGGACACATAGCAGATTTCAAGGAAAGAAAAATTGGTGATGAAAAAATACATGGGAGTCTGCAGAGTGGGCTCTACCTTTGTGATGAGAATAACAATTCCATTCCCCAGCAAGATAATCATATAAATGAAGAGGAAGATTCCAAAGAGAAACCAGTGCAATTTGGGAATATCAGAGAATCCCACGAGAACAAATTCCACGGGCACAGTCAGATTTATTTCTGTGATTTTCCATTTGTTTTCTTTTGGTAGAGTCACGTTTCTTAACTGCATGTCCTCTGTCAAATTGGATTAGTATATGTGTTTTGGATTTTATAACATAAGTTTCTTTCTGAATGTTACAGTTCTGAATCTGGGAGATTCACTGTGAAATCATGAGCAATGGATTTACCTGAATAAAAAATAAAACCAATTTTATCAATAAAGTTCTCCAAATGTATTGACCATCTTAGTTATATCTTCTAATATAATCAATAAAATCCATATGGCCATATATTTTTATTCAGGTTCATATCATAAATATGTGTAGTTTGTTTGTCTTGAAGTCGCACTGCAATACTTCTCTAACCTCTGTGCTCAAGAGCAAAATAAGATTCAGAGTTCACATAAAGCCAGTGTTTTGGTGAATATCTATAAAACCAGGATTCAGAAAGCTAATGGGCAATTATTTCAAGACAATCCAGGACATCTTGGTGAAATCATGTTTCTAAAAACTAATAAATAGTTTAAATACTTAAAACATAGCATGCATATATGTAAAAGTACACACTGACATTTACTGTTAAATATTTTTTAATTTTAGCTCTGTTATCTTTTAGATCTCTGCAACCCTTATTTTGAAATAAGTAATTGTATAAACCTCATTGCTACTTTCAATGTTGGTAATCTTCTTACATATATTACTGGCTCTCTGAAAAACCAGATATCCTATATCTCACCTACCACTTATTTTGATGGCGTGCAGTGTACC